GATTTATTTAGAAAAAGAAACGATATTGGTATATGTATACTGAATGTTTACATTCTAAAAGCAAGATTAGACTTTTTGAAAAACACTCTAAAACCACAATCAAAGAAAGCTGAGGACTTTCAACTGTTGAATTTTTCTCCTCATAGGCCAAAAAAAAAAGAACCTTTTAATGAATCAGAGAAGTTAACCAATTTTTGCGATATTGTGCATCCAAATATCTGTCTAGGATTTTCTTCTCTTGAAACTAAAAGTATCTGGACAGAAAGTATGTAATTGGTCATAGCATTCACGAATTAAACATAGGGCATCTGTTGATTCTAAAAGGTCCTTGGACCCTTTAACTATTCTATATGGCTCGAGGGCTTCCACTCCTTAAATTCAATGTCTCCCTGATACTGTTATAATGTCTTTGTTTCACATCAGAAATAACTTCGTAACCATGTGCTTTATCTTTTACAGAAAGGAGGATTAGCATTCTGACTCCACATCCTGCAGCTTAGACATCATGGAAAAGGAGGGTGTTGTACAGCTAACTGAGGATAGTATGAGTACCTCTTTCTTTCTTCTTTCTTTTCATGTCTACTAATAGCTCTGTCTATTTATTTGGATAGATAAGAGCTGACTGCAAATAAATATTGAGGTTGTACTTAAAAAACTGTACATTGTTAGTTGTCGAGGATACACTTAGAATCAGGACAAGCTGAGGCCCAGCTGCTGAATGTGCTGATGCCCACGCGGAGGAGATAAAATTACTGTATAAGTTTAAGGATGTAAAGAGGGAGGAGGTAGTGAATCCGTAATCGTGACTGTACAAATGTTACCAGGCAGAGAGAGCCTTAGTATTTTAGGAACCTGGAATTTTCCTAATGTATGGATTTATTAAGTTTATTTGCTTTAAGAATCTTTTTTCCTTATCTCGTTCCAAATTTTCTCATGTTCGAAATTATTTCTTTTCAGTTATACTTTGCGCAAATTATTGCAGCTTTATTTGCATGATGTGTGATTGACCTGATCAGCTCTCAGGTGTACCTGATGTCACCGTAGGTTCTGCTTTGATTATTATTCTTTTTCTTGGGGTAGATAAAAGATGACACTAAAGGCACCAGGGGAATGTAAACCTACGTACGAGCAAGAAACTATAATATACAAAATTATAAACTTCTTAAAGGAAAGAATAAAAAGAATAACAAATCCACCTCATTAGAGATGGGTTGACCTTTAAGCATAATACAGAGTATTCTAAAATCTAAATCAATGATCTCTGGTCTCTTGAAAAGTGAACTAGGAGTCCTCAAAATTTCTGTTTTGCTCTTAGTAAACTGAAAAATCGAAAGAGAAATATCTGAAATTCTCTAGGACTTATGAATGGCAATGTCATCCTATGCCCACAAGTCATTTTTGAGAGAATCACTGGCCACTCATTTCAGGTTGAGAATTGCTAGTCCCGAACTTCATAATCTTTTAGTTCTAAGCACCAAAGAAGAATACCTTCAAATAAAGAAAACTCTATTTGCTGAAGTCCTGTCTCTTTTTCATAAGATTGTCCAAAGTTTAGATTTTGCTCCAAGTTATCCCTCAAGCAAAGGAAGCTATGCATGGCGCCTTGGTTTTTCACACTTGTTTTCAGGGGAATCTATCCATTATTTTATTCTCTAACCTATGATTATAGAAGGACTTAAGATAACTTTCCATTTTTGAAGACCTTCTAGAGTGGGAAATCAGCTTTGAAAAGGGCAGCTTTCATCAAGCTGTGCAAGAAAACAGCTCCATCCATCAATTCTCCAATCTTTCAGTTAACGGACGAGAGGGATATTCTACCAGATTCTGCTACAGTATACCTCTAGAAATGATTTGTAATTATCACCTCCTTAAAACTAGCAACTGAAGATATTAGGACAGAGATCCTACGGATAATCCAACATATTAGGGATGAGAAAAACTCTTTTCGTACGAGGCAAATCTGAAGCACAAAGGTCATGGGCGTTACACTCAAAACAATTTTATGTAACATTGTGCACTATATAAGGACAAAAAAACCTTCTTTCATAAGGAATAATTCTGGGGCATCTCATCAACCTAATGATCTCGCCAAAGACTTTCTTGCCATTTCCGACAGCAAAAGTGATGTTGAAAAAATTCGTCCACTCCCTTTAGTCCACTTCAACAGGTTACACCAGTATGCACCTCTATGTGGCTTAGTTTTGCAGTCTCTAGTATCTTACTGCGCACCTCTCTACCATAACCCTGCTCCAGAAAAAAGCTTTCTCTTCTGCAAGGAATCTCCATTTCCATTTTGCAAGGACCTGGCATTGTTGAAGACTCCAATGGACTTGATTCCCAAACCACCCTTCGCCAAAAGGGCTGACTTTGCCCCAGGCTATGAGGTGAAATTTCTTAAAATCGTCTTTATCTCCCCCAGAGTGAACTGCATTTCAGAGAATTATTACTCTTTTGATAACATTGGCTGGAATTGGGAAAAGGGGCAAGTAAATCCTTAAATTAGAAAAGACCATATGAGTAGTGTAAGTCTTCTACCCTTAGACAAGGAGCAGTTTCGCCAACCAAAATGCTTTTATCCTTGATCTTGGCACCGAGTGGATACCCAGATAGTTGATAGGGAGAGAAGCCACTTTAGAGTAAAGAATATAAGCAAATTTGTCACGAGATACAACGTCATCCAAACCATCACTCTGCCTGAGATCCCTAGAAGCAAGAAAGAAATCTGAAGGTTTCCCTTTTAACAATAATAGCAAAAACAAATAGTCATATCGAAGTTTTTCATTTCTCTCTAAAAGCCATATCCTTCATAAGGTGGTAGAAAAGAAGGCTTCCAGACATGATCAAGCGTTCTTATAAGCTCCCACATCTTTGAGTTTCAAATACCTGGTTGTTTTCTTCTTTGGTGAGTTTGACTTGTATTGTAAATGTCTGGACTTATCTGCTTCTGGTACTTATCACCTGCATGAATTGTTACTAAAAGTTCTGATTTGAACTTACTGTAATTAGTCAGAAAACTTAATTGATTGATCTCTCATAAAATGTCGGAAGATTTCCATTCTCTCCTGGGAGCACTTGAACTGATCATGTCCTAATCTTAAAAATTCACTTGGTTATCATTTTCACAAATTCTGTGTGAAATTTTCCCGCCATTTTCCTCTGCATAGTGTATCTAAGGTAATCAACGTACTTTATCTTCTTGTACAGTCTGGGTGATTATTCTTAACGTCCACCATTGATTCCACTGGAGCAATTTCCTCTTCATCTTCTGGAAATATAAATGCTGCTATTGACATTCTTGCTTTCTTCTCGTTTGTTACGGCTCCGTGCTCAATGCTTCTATGCACACGAGTCCTCCACACCTGAATAATATGTACTTAAAAATATATTTTCCAAAGGAAAGTAATAAGTTGTAATGAATTATTCCAAATTGAACGAATAAGAATTAGAATCACGCAATTTTTTATGTATATTGTATATTAAAAAGAGGAATCTTTTGTTTTACTTGTATGGCCGTAGGCGTTTCAAGCTTCATCAATATGTCGGTTCCAGATTCAAGTGGTTACGTAAGATTCCAAAAGTATTATTCTTTGGGTAACGAAACAAATGATTTACGTTTATTGCGTTGAACTCATTGGTCAATAAGTTCTTTTGTAATCAATAGTAGGTTGTAATTGAAACAACGACTCTAGGGATAGGTTTCACTGGAATCCGTCCTTGTTGGTGCCTATTTTGCAGGTCAGCGATCTTATCATCTTGCAGAAGCAAGGTTATGGTGGTTGCATCAGAATGTGGGCTAACCACAAGAACAAGATCAGGCCTTGAGCAAGCTGGGTAATAGTTCATCCTCATGGCCTGTTTCAGGCCACTGCAGTTTTCATGTTAGGCATTACTTCTTCTGTCACTCCATGATTTGTCGTCATCAATTAAGACCATGTTTATGATTAGCATCCAAATGCATAAAAATACATACGTGAATTAAGCAAACCAAATACGTCCCATGAGTAGGCAGGATACAGAAAATATATCTGAAAGAAACCCAATTCTTCCTGGCAGAATCCGGCTTTCTTCTCTCATCTTCATCTCCTCTCGCAAGCAAGGAGAAATCAATGGTTGGGATATCATTTGGTGACAAAGGAGACAGCTCGTGGTCTAGTGGCCTATGTTTGAGTTCTTGAATGTATTTTTCAGGAGCAGACTTTGGATCAATCCTTGCCATTCTCGAATTATTTTTTGTGTTCTGAGATTTAAGTTTCTGTGCAACTTGAAGAGCGTACTTGTCCAAATTAACTCAACATGTTCATAATTTTATATTCGAAAAGTTATTTAAAAGAGATTTAAACCTAAGTGAAATGGATTAATCTTTTGGGTAGAATTATATTTTTGAATATAAAATCAAATTGATATGGGCGTAATTGCAGGTAATTTTGAATTTAAAACTTAATTTTGGTTGACATTCCTTGAAAATAAAATTGACCCTTTGATTAAGCAGAGCCTTGTAAGTAATGAACCATTGTCAAACATAGAGCTTAACTGAGTACAACATACTTTGCTCACAGACAATATTACTGAAATTGATCCGGAAACTTACAATTGACCCACCCATTACAGAATAAGAACATATAATCTAGTAAACATCAATGTTCTAGCTAATCTATAGAGATTAATATAATTTCCTTAAGTTGGAGGGCAAAATGTAATGACATAGCGGGGTGCCCTACAAGTATGGAGGCTACTAGAATCATCATAAGCATAACTATAAGCTTTAGGACATATGGCCTTAAACAGACGAGCAAACACAGAAGGCTTACAGCTTTTAGGATTAGCAAACTCCCCTGTGCAACAATACCGATCTGTTCTAGCAGCCAGACAAGCACTTTTACACCCGACAACTTTCCCTTCTCTTTTCACTGCCAGAGCAGCCGGGCAGCAAACATTCAAATCAGCTTCACAGGCAGCCACTCCGCAGCCAACTCCGCCACCTACAGGCGCCATAGACACGGGGATATTGAACCCATCAACCAGGCTGACATCGTAGAAATGAATGGGGGATTTTGATGTCCCAAGTGTCATCTCAACTAGTGTTGCTGGCGGTTTGCCTCCTGTACCTTGACACTTTAAAAGGCCAGCACAGTCTCCTGTCTGGCACGAGCCTTTCCCAGTCTTTTCGTTGAAACAGCAGCCTTGTCTAGGCCAGATCCTGCCTGACCATTGCTCAGGAACCTCCAGGACTATCTGCTCACCGCTGCAGAGAAGAAAACCACCTTCAGCAGGAGTCTGATGGCCGGCATTGCCAAGCAGTCCAGGCCATATGCTTTCCTTACAGTTGTTCACTAATATAAGCTGGGTTCCACCTGCACAGAATTTAACAACATTAATTAGCAATTATTCCTTGATGAGTATTGGAGAAGATCAAATTTAATCCCCTCGACTAACCCACCAGAATGGTTCAGTACCTGCTGAGGAGAGAGAGATGATGGATACAATGGAGATGAGGAAGAAGAGGAAGAGATTTGAGGAAGAAGCCATTGTGATTTTAGTAGTTAATCTTGAGTTGTGACTTCTGTGTTTTATTTATAAATCCAAAGTTTCCTTCTTTTCAGCCATTAGAAAAGGCTTTGGAGAATTGAAACAACAGCAGCACGTGTGAAGAACGGTTTGCCAACTGAGAGTTGAGTGGATGCATGTTTCCTCCCCCCACTAACTTTAAAGATCTGGCTCCATTTCTCCACAAATACATTTATTTTACTCGATGCTTCTTTTTAGTGCTCAATATATATAATCCCAAAATCTTATGATTATAATTCTTTTTATCAATGTTAACAAGTATGATGATATACGCATGAGGTGATTGGTTACTGAGGAGCAGCCAAGTGGAGATTAGAGTTGCAATTAAACCTAACTACATATAATTATCATTATCTTCATCGAGAGATTTGGATTAGAAGGGTGATTGGAGGATACAATGACATGGGCAAAAGTGCTTTTTTGCTATAAATAATACAAACTTTTTTTACCCAAAATCGGTTTTCAAAGCAAAAAGAGATTAATTAAGTATAAATAAATAATAATCTACAGGATCCCATCATAGCTCCCACTTTGCATTCAATCACTTTCTAATTAAGCTGGCATGAGATTCTTTGGCTTTTTCCCACCAAACCAAACTATAATTTGTACAGAAAATTGCTTACTTTTTTGTGGGTATCTTGACAAAAAGTTTTGATTGAAAAAAAGTTAACAAAAGGGTCGAGAAATTTATGAATTTCATATCATGTTTAAATATTTTCAACTTAATTCAATATAATTCATTCTTAATTTCTTAAAAAAGGTTATTTTATATGATTAATGTTATATATATATATATATATATATTTGAGATCGTAAGCTAAAATCTCATAAACAGAATAAGAAAGATGCTATAATAAAGAATGAACTAAGAAATGATGGAGTTCTTTTACAATATTCGTCCCAATTGAAAAGGTTTTTCTTTGCAAATATATGAGCCACTTC